CTGGTCTCTCTGCCGAAGGGGGGCGGCCTCGCTGATGGGGGCCGCATCCTGGAGGGAGAAGCTTTGCAGCAATGGGTAGGATGGAGGCAGCTGTTGAAGCGACAGCCCGAGGGCGGCAGCCAGGCGCCCAAGCCCCACTACGACGGCAAGTTTCGTTCCCGATCTACCTACGCCCAGTTCGTCGGTGACCTGTTGGATGCCGGCGTGGTCTCCCTGAAGCAGCAGCGGGAGGAGACTGTGGGCGCCTTCTTTGTGCACAAATCGAATGGTATGCAGCGTTTAATTATTGACCCTCGGCGTGTCAATGACTTGTTTGAAGCTCCAGCGCACACAGTGCTCCCGACGGCGGGGGCTTGGTCAGCGTTGGAGGCCCCCATAGACCAGGAGTTGCACCTCGCTCAGGCCGACGTGGACAACGCGTTCTACAGGATCGGCTTGCCGCGGGGGGCGCAGGAGATGTTCGTTTTGAGAGCTGCCCACCTTCCCACCCTGCTGAAGCTGAGGCCTGACCTTTCAGACCAGCTGCCGCCAGGGATCGAGGCGTGGGCGTCACCTTGCCTAGAGGTGCTTCCCATGGGGTGGACGTGGAGTCTCTACTTTTGCCAATTCATGGTGATGGCTGGTGTTCAGGCTGCTGGCTTCGCCCTCTCCGATTTCATCCAGGATCGCCGTGCAGCCCCTTCGGTGACGGACCGCAACCGCGTGGCCGTCTACGTGGACGGAGTTGCTGTGGTGGGGCTGGAGGCTGACCTGGTGACCTCCGACTGCGAGCGGGTCGCCGCGAAGCTGGAGGCGCTGGGCCTGAAGTGCAAGGGCGTGGAGGCGGCTGGCTCGGACACCACCTTCACAGGCCTGAGCTTCGAGGTGGCCTCTGGCAAGATACGGCTTTCTCGGTCACGGACGTGGAAGTTGAGGCTGGCTCTCCTGCACACGGCCTCCCGCGGGTGGGCCTCGGGAGACGAGCTTCGGCATCTCCTTGGCCACTGGTGCTGGGCAGCGATCCTGCGGCGTGAATTGCTGAATGTGTTCGCGCAGACGTACAGGTACATCGCCCTGGCCGGCTCCAGGAGGTGGAGGCTCTGGCCCTGCGTGGAGGCCGAGCTGCGGCGGGCCGCGGCCTTGGTCTGCTTCGCGCTCGTGGACGCCAAGCGGCCCTACAGCACGGTCGTGACCGCGTCCGACGCTTCGGGGGCCAGCCGCCACGACTTCGGCGGGTACGGCGCGATGGAGACTGACTGGGACCTGGAGAGCGTGAGGGCCGCGGCAGGCCAGGCCGAGAAGTGGCGGTGGTGTGTCTCAGATGCCATCGCTGCTCGCGCCCAGACGCTCGGCCTGCCGCAGGAGCAGGGACCAAAGCGTCCAATGTCTCGCCAGGCAGGAGTCACTTTCGAACATATCACGCCCGGCCAGTGGGACGAGGGCTGCCTGCTGGACAGCGACAGGGTGACGGCAATGGGGCCGCTGCTGCAGGCGCTGGTACGTCGTGCCGGGCCGAGTCAGCCGTTGTGGTCCTTCTCAGCCGCGCAATTCCGAGTGCTGTTCCGCAAGGTGGCGCAGTTGGCTGGCCTCCCGGACTTGAACCCCTACCAGGTGCGCCACGGAGCCGCCAGCGCCGACGCCCTCCACCAGAGTCGGGACATGAAGACCATCCAGGAGAGGCTGAGGCACGCTCAAGAGTCGTCAACACGACGGTACAAAAAGCACACGAGGTATCTCCGCGAGTTAGACCAGCTGGCGCCCGACACGAAGCAGTACGGAGACTACGCGGATGCCAACTTCGAGGCGCTGATCACCAAGCGCAAGGCCGTGGCCGCGCCTCCAGGGGCAAAAAGGCCGCGGCGTTGGCCGCCGGCCAGCTCTGGCGCTCAGGAGACACTCTTGCCTCTGCCCTCCAGCTGTCGGCCGCGTCGGTCAGACGCAGGCTCAGGGCCGCGTTAGACCAGGCGCTAGGCCGCCAGCCTCGGAGGGCACAGACTTTTCTGGATCTTTTTGCCGGGACAGGCCGTGTCGGGAAATGGCTGGAGAGGTTGAGCGGATTGCCGGCCCTCCGTCTCGATGTCAAGGCTGACCCTGCTTTTGATCTGTCATCCGACGCAGCTCTTTAAGTAGTTCGAGGTTGGATCGGGAGTCGTGTCGCGCGGGCCGTGTGGCTCGCCCCCCCGTGTTCAACGTGGAGCGTTGCCAGCCGAAACACATTCCGCACGCCTCAGCATATATATGGTCGGCCCGACCTCTCTGACAAAAACGCAGTCAAAGTACAGTTCGGCAATGCAACAGCTCTCTTTTCCGTATGTGTGGTTCGTGCGTGCTTGAAGGCAGGGATCCCAGTGGCAATGGAGAACCCCCAGTCTAGTCTCCTCTGGCAGTGTCCCGCCCTTTTAGACCTCACGCGCCTAGACAATTGTAAAGAGTTTGTGACACACATGTGCCAACATAATCGTGCCTGGAAGAAGCCCACTAAAGTCGTGGGGTGGAATGTAGGGGCTCCGCCTAAAGCACTTTGTAAACGGTGTTCTGGGGTCCAAGGGATGTGCAGTCGCACGCTCCGGCCTCACGTGGCCCTCCAGGGCCGCGGACCCGGGGACCCCAGGAACCTTACAGCCCGGGCAGAAGAGTACCCTGACTCCTTCGCCCGGGGTGCCGCTTCTTTGCTTGTGCAGGCTGCCGACCGAATCCAGCTCAATCATCTCGCGTCTTTGACTTCGTGAGCAAGCTCATGCGGCTTGGCCAGAATAGATTCGGGAAGATGGGAGCGAGCGCGCTCTGTTATAAGTTCCGTTCGCAGCAAGCACCAGTGTCGTCCACCCTTGGCAGCCTGCTACCTCTCTGGAAAATCATCTGCGTTGGCAAGCGAGAGTGTTCAGAGCAGGGTTCAGTTTTTCAAACGTTAGTGCTCTAAGTTGTAGCGCAGCCGCCTCGATAAACCGATGTGCATCCATGGACATCGGGCTCAAGTGCACCGCCTCCCACCCCTCCTCCTGCTTTCCTTTCTTTCATTATATGTGTCGTCAAAGCTGGGGAGCGAGCGCGCTCTGTTATAAGTTCCGTTCGCAGCAAGCACCAGTGTCGCCCACCCTTGGCAGCCTGCTACCTCTCTGGAAAATCATCTGCGTTGGCAAGCGAGAGTGTTCAGAACATATCTATATATATATATATGTATAGATAGATAGGTGTGTATACAGACATGTATGTATCGGAGATTGGGGGGTGGGTTCGAGGTGAAATTGAGACCCCCCACGGGGAAATCAGTTCCGTTTTCGGTTTCGTGTTCGTGCCGTGCGTGCGGGCGAGGCGAAGATGCTTGCGCGGGCGAGAGGAGTGAAACCGCCAGAGCTAAGGCGAAATTGAGCTCAATGATTCTTCGCCCCCAGGCTGGCCGGAGGTGGCTCGGGGGTGTCCCGCCGGTGTCCCGTGGTGTCCTATGGAGCGGTGTCCTGTGGTGTCCCGTGGTGTCGCGTGGCGCGGTGTCTTGTAGTGTCCTGTGGTGTCCCGTGAGGTTGATGGTGAGATCGATAGTGAGATCGATGGACAAATCGAGAGTGAGATCGATAGTGAGGTCGATTGTGAGATCGATTGATAGAGGGAGATCGATAGTGAGGTCGACGGGTAGATCGAGAGTAGATCGATATATATATAGAGAGAGAGAGAGAGAGAGAGATGGCTCAGCGGGTGCTCCGTGGTGCCCAACTGGTTTCCGCCGAATCCGATCCGACCCCAATCGCAAACCCTTCGGGTGATGAAGAAGTTCGGGGGGAGGAACCAACGTCTCACCCAATCGATCGCACGATCGATCTCACGATCGCTGTCACAATCGGTCGCACATCATCCCACTATCGATCTCACAATCGATCTCACTATTGATGACACTATCCATCTCACTATCGATCGCAGATTGACCTCGCAATCGACCTCACTACCGATCTCACTATCGATCTTGCTGTCAATCTCACGATCGATATCACGATCGATCTCACTATCGATGGCACTAACGACCTCACGATCGATCCCACTAACGATCTCATTATCGACCTCACTATCGACCTTACGATCAATCTCACTATCGATCTCACGGGACACGGCGGGACACCACGCGACACCACGAGACACCACGGGATACCACGGGACACCATTTGGAAACCACGGCGGGACACCACGGCGGGACATCACGGCGGGACACTACGGGACATCACGAAACACCGTCACAGGACACCACAGGACATCGAAGGACACCATGGGACACCATGAGATACCACGGGACACCATTGGCACACCACGGCTTGACACCGCGGGACACCATCGACACACCACCAGGCACCAGGACACCATCGGGACACCAATCGAGACACCATGGGACACCAACGGGACATTATCGGGGCACCACGGCGGGACACACCCGGCTCCCGTCCGCCACGCGGCCGGGGGGGGCGGACTTCTAACCTCGCTTCGCCCTAGCCAGAGGAGGGTTCATGTCTCTCGCCCGCCCACGCAGCTTCGCCTCGCCCGCACGCACGATGCGAACCCGAAACCGACGCCGGTTTCCCGGTGGGGGTTCTGCGTCCCACTTCGATCTCACCTCTTCACCTCCGATATATGAAAGTATGTATAGTGATATATATATATATATATACGTAGGTAGATCGATAGTGATATCGAGAAATGGACAGTGATAATGATTTGATATACATATACCTGTATGTTTACAGATCTATATATACATATCAAGATCGTGAGACCTATAGATAGATAGACTTATAGAGGTTACTCAATGGATGGAGGCGATCGTCCCGATGATTGTCCCGTCGTTGGCTCCACCCACCCCCACCCCAAACTTATTTGTCGGCTTCTGGCCAGACTTACAGGTATCAGCATTGGTTGCCGCGCACACTGCCATAAGCATGGTAGCAATGGAAGGATGGCGAGGTGGGAAGAGAGTAAGCCAACAAAGTGAAGATGGGAAGCTGCAACCAGGAAGTGCTTCAGTACAAAAAGAACGCCGCCAGGACTTGTCGATGAAAGCATACAGTCGACACCTGGAGATGTCCTACGCCGATGCCTACGAGTGGCTGGCCAGTCACACCGCTGATCCCACAAGCTGGCGCTCACCTCCCGCACCCACTACGTCGGCTGAGCCCCATCGCGGGGGCACGCCTGCAGTATCGCTTGCGGGTTGCGTGGCGAGCGTGCGCTGCACAGCGCTCTTCGCATCCTTCACGTCGACGGTACTTGCGTCTGGGGGCAGCGGCGAGCACGCGCTCACGGGAGGGCGTGTTGTAATCAAGATGTGCCCGGCGTCCTTGTGTCCAGTCTACTTGGGCTGCGTGCGCGCGTGTGTGGGTGAACGTGTTTTGTCGCTCGTGCTCGTCCACCTCTCGTGAGCGCAGCAAGTGCATGTCTTGTTCCCGATATGGGGTGGTCTCGTGCTGACCGTGTTTGCCGTCTATCTCGATTAGTTGCTCACTGGCGTGTTGTGTTGAAAGGGGCACGAGATGCAGCACAGCTCCCCCGCACACACAATATCCACGCACTTCGTGGATAGCGGACACAACCGCCACCAAATTCAGCGAGGCCGTGGAGGAGATTGGCCGCTTCTCCTTTAGTATGTTCGCCACGCGGTTATGTGGTGCGTCTTCGGTTTAAGAGACGAGGGAGAGCTTGGGTAAACTAGTCTGGGCCATAGGCTGCCCCTATTCAACAGGTGCGCCCCCATTGCACGCAATTTCGTCTTCCGTCGCTGTTTACCCTACGCCTTGCTCCACCCACCCACCCACCCTCCCAGACATCCGACGATGTGTTGTTTCAATCCGCGTGCTCTGAGCTTCCGACCCCTTCCCCAGGGGTAGTTCTTCGTGCTGGAACCAGGTCTAGTGGCCCTAGACCCCAAAACGGTCACTTGGTGTTGAAGCAGAAGGAAAACATTGTTGACCTTGAAGAAGTCAGAAACCACCCGAAGTCCAAGACAGTGTCCCCCCGTCCTTTTGGTGGCCCTTCGGCAAGGACATGATCTCCTTCTACAGCGACTTGCAATACTTCCCCTTCCGCCTGAGGGGTCCCCCCCCCCCGCCTGTTTGGGGGGGGCCGAGAGGGGGGCGCGCAGAGGGGGGAGAAGGAGAGTAGGGGGAGAAGGGGAATGGGGAGACGGAGGAAGAGGAGGGGGAGTGGGAGGGGGAGGGGAGGGGTGAGGAATAGGAGGAGGAGGGGGAGGAGGAGGAGGAGGAGGAGGACCAGTGCAAACCCAATACTCATCAAAGGAATCGCAATACAGTCTCCATCCAAGTTCCCTTTTCACAGGCCCCTACAAGAATTCATTTCCACTGATGGAAGTGCCCCGTTGGAAGACAACTGTTTGAAACCATGAATTGCGTCAGAACACCCTTATTGGGACTTCAACGCCGCGAATCACATGACGATCCGGAATCGTGCCAGAACACCGTGCCTGGGACTTCAACATCGCGGATCAACGTAATTGCTGTGCCTTGACGGTCATGAAGCGTTCCAGCACATATTTATTAGTACAATAACCATGGGATCCCGTAAATTGTTTGCAATGCTGAAAGGGGAATGCGCGCGCGGCGCTAATGCGAGAGCAACACGTTGAAAACAAACCGCCCGCCCTCCATCCGTGAACCGTTCTGCCGATGTACAAAAAAACGAACGGACGCGGCGCTGAGGCGAGCGCCACATTTTGAAAGCGACCCGCCCTCCACCCGTCGAAGGCTTGCAAAGTTCAAGCTTCAGGATCACAAATCATGAGGAGGTCTCAGGCGAAGCGCCTGGCCCGCCCTACCAACACACATCTCGGGACGCGACAGGGCGAAGTTACGTGCAAGGACAGCGGATGGAGAAGGAGGCGGAGGCGGAGGGGGAGGAGGAGCGGGAGGGGGAGGAGGAGGGGGAAGAGGAGGAGGAGGACGAGGAGGAGGAGGAGGAGGAGGGGAAGGAGGAGGAGGAGAAGGAGGAGGAGGGCCAGTGCAAGCCAAAGACTCATCAACGATGTTGGAGTGAACCCTCCCTCCAAGCTCCCTCGTCACAGGCCCTGCAAGGATGTATGCCCACTGAGGAAAGTGACCCGTTGGGAGACAATCGTTCGAAAACCTGAAGCATGGCAAAACACCACTCCCATGACTTCAACGCCACGAATCAACCTGACTTCAACGCCGCGAGTCAACCTGAATCGCGCCAAAACGTTATTCCTGGGACCACAACACCGCGAATCAGCGTAGCTGTTGATCTCTGACAACCCTGTATCGGTTCAATCACATTATGCTGGTACGTTAACCAGGGGAGACCATGCAATGTTTCAAGAAAAGTGCGCGCTGCGCTAAGGCGAGGGCCACAGTTTGAAAAGGAACCGCCCTCCATTCGTGAAACTCTTGCACCTATTTAAGCTGAGTGCGCGCGGAGCTAAGGCGAGAGCAGCATTTTGATAACGACCCGGCCTCCATCCGTGAAACGTCTGCTATGTAGATTAAACGGTTGCGCGGCGCTAAGGAGGAGAAGCCA